AAATATGAGTTGGGGATTGACAATGTTGGCCTTTTTGTTCTAGAGCTATGTAAACTTGTCGACCTGGACAAACAAGTAATTAGAGGATATTTGAGTTGATACAATCGTGGGCTTGGTTTCGAATGCCATTTTTACAATCGATTCATACATAGCAAACCCCATTTGAATTTTCACTACTTCGAAGATAATTAAAAATACGCTATGTTTATATATTTAAATTACTATATTTTTTTGGTTTTACAAATAATTATATTTTATTATATGAATGATAGATGGACTGTCACACTAACTCACGTCCACCTACCAAGAATTATGCGTGATTTTTTATTGTCGATTGATAAGATGACAAACAAGGTAATCGATTTTATAATTTTTTTGTAAATTAAATATCAATTTTTTATTCAAGTTTATCTAACTTAGTTTAAAAATATTTTTGTAGTTTGTATGGACGTCGTACAGTGATAATGCTATTAGATCGTGTACTCTGGCTGATTGTTATCATGTTTGGATGTTGGTAGTCCCATTGATAATCTATGAGATTGTTGAGTGGCATCCTATTGATCGCGTGTTGCGGTAATTTAATAGTGTCCAAACGATTTCGCTACCACCACCATACTTGGACGCCTTACATCGCCAAACGTGACAGGGGAAAATGGATGTTAATTAAAAGATGCATCATGTGAATTGGGTGCTGCAGTGGATGACGAGGTCACATAAGAATGTTGTTTCTAAACCTATCTTCAGCTAGAGTGTTTCAAATGATTACATATTATGGTACAAAAAAATGGGAAGTCGCATATATTGAATGAGGAGGAGTGAGAATAAGAAATTTATAGGCCTTCCCAAACCGTCCGCGACGCAACATCCCCCGTCGTAACGTGGTGCTAGAGGAGAATCAAGTTAGCATGCTCCAGCCTCATAATCGGGAATGACACAGGCACCTACAAAGCACCAGATATTGCTGACTACACCTACATTAACCCACTCGACTTAGTTAGCATTTCAACATATGGTGACTCAGTCAACATTTCATCATATGGAGCCTCCGAATGAAGGTTTTTTCGTTGACGCATTTCGTTCCTATCCGACGATCATTTTCTCTTCACATTTCCCTCAAACAGTAGTTGAAACATATTATACGTCACTTCTGTGTGCATCCGTTTGATCATTGGCAATAGACTTCAGCTCCGGCAGTGTTGAGCAGATACCGCTGCAGAGCATGTTCTACACCGGTCTTGGTCTCAATACCAATGGTGGTACTGGACATGTAGATGAGGGTGATGGTGATGATGTTGATGAGGGTAATGGTGATGCTGATGTTGATGAAGATAGATTGATTCGTAAGAATCCTCGTCGGACTCGTCGTCCACCACGGTGCGATATGGGTGGACATACGCATTAGGGGTGTGCATTTTTGGATACAAATATTATCCGATCCGAACTTTTGGATCACTAAAATTGTGATCCGTATCCGATCTAAAAAAACTGGATATCCAAAAATTTTATATCGGATAGCAGGATATCCGATCTGAATATTAACTTTAATTTGATAAAAAATTAAATTTAAATCTAATATATTATAACTCTATACAATATATTTTCTACCTCCAATATATATTTATAAAAATACATTTAAATAATTATAAACTAAATAATTAATATCTCTTTTATAATATTAAAAAATATAATTTAAAGTTTAAATAATTTAAAAGTTGAAAAAAAGAAGTTGGCTAGAGCATAGGCTCTGGGGTTGGGAGGTTGGGCCAACTTAGGGAGGGAGGTGGGGCTGGGGTGCTGGGCCAGCTGAGGGAGGGGGAGTGCTGGCCTGATAGGGGGATGAGGTTGGAGATAAAATTATTGGGCCTGAAATAAAATATCTAAAGGCCCAATTTTTTCGGATTTTAGGATAATCTGAAACTAAAATTTCACCGATTCGTATCCAATATGATTATTCTTTTCTTCTTGGATATCCAATTCGACTTATTCGAAAACTAAATAATGGATCAGATATCCAAATTCTTAGATCGTATCAACGGATCGGATCAGTAGGGTCAGATTTTTTCGCACACCCTTAATAGGCATCATTAGTTGTATAAATTTGTAATTTTTTAGTTAATCAAACTCCATTTTCTTTTTTTAGTTAATCTAACTCCAATTTTTTTTAGTTAACCGAACTCCATTTTCTTTAATATTCGAATATAATGTTCTACTTTTGTTTAGAAAATTTCGTTTAAATTATTAATTTTTTACGTTATCCTTGAACAATATGATAATTAGTTGTTCGTTTGATGCATAAATAACTTGGGAATCATCATATTTAGTAAAATTTATTTTAATACTAATTTAAAAACATAATAAAAAAAATGAACTACAAGAGTTGTTTAAAGATCTTTCTCCGGACGTTCACGGGCATATCGTAGAAGAACTATCTCTTCTTCCTCATGGTCTTGTGATAATCGAGTCACTTCTATATTACTTGTTGGGTATGGTTCTTCCTCAAATGTTACAGTCAACTTGATGTTCAAACCACCAACTCATGTGTAAGCCTTAAACATCTTTGAAGGTCACATGTATTTGATAAAGTCAACAAGTAATGCTTTAGGGTCAGGCTTATCAACGAGAACTTTAGCTCACAACAAAGACATATGTCATGTTGTAGATTTTTTTAAGCTCCGTTGAAATCAAATCGTATAACTCATCATTCTTAATCTTGGCGTTGAAGGAAATGTAGAAATAAGTTCTGGAATGAAACACAGTTGCAGAAAATCTAGCTATTAATATTTGTTTTACGAAGGTATTTCATTCAAAATAGACAGAGGTCTTGTTTGTATAGATATATTTTCTCCAAATCTCGTGCCTTTTATAATGCGAGACTTACCATGTCAAATCAAATGGTGATTTCATGTCAGGAATCTCTTCAACGTTAGAAATTTCTAAGGAACTCGCATTTTACATAGCGCGAGTTTCCTGCCACGTTAGAAATCTCTACCAAACTCATGTTTTGCACAGCTCGATATTTTTTCCTATAAATAACCTCCCCTTCTGCTGATATTGTAAATTTTAACACATAATCTCTACTTATAAGAGGTTCTTTTTCTAGTGGCACGACTTGATACGAAGCTTAGATATCCTTATGAAAATATTGGTGCTATAAGTTATGCCACCTGAAGAGGATGTCTTTTATAAAAGACATGGCATTCTCAACAAAATGCTTATTTCATCAATATCGTCTTTTTCATCAAACCGACAATTTTATGTAAAATACATCCTCTTCGGGTGGCATCCTCTGCAGCTTCTACTTCAAATTGTTTGTCATATGGTATATTCGTAAAGTCGATTAAATATGAGTAACCTGACCTTCTTGGGAAACTAATTGTTTCTAAGAAGGCATCCTCTTTTGGTGGCATCTTCTACTTATCACTTGTGATGTTGATCTGACAGTTGTGGGCATGGTTTCCGAAATCCGTTTTTATGCCAGATTTATTCTTCATCAAACACACAATGTTTCTAAAAAGGCATCCTCTTCTGGTGCCATCCTCTACATATCACTCGTGATGCTGATTTGACAAATGACACACCCCCACTCGTCTTCTGATCTTTTTGCCTTGCATTTTCTACGAAGGGCTTCTCGGGAAACTTCTCATTCCATCAAATCCTGATCGTCTTATCGGAAAACTTATTGTTTATAAGAAGACATCATCTTCTGATGGCATTATTCCCTCAAACTTATTGTGCTTTTTCTTTTTACTACTTTTGTAATTAATAAAATATATTCGTTAGTTTTCAATTTATTTTTGTTTAGAACCATTTTCAACGCAATTGTTACACCGCTTAAAATGTCTCGTATGTGTCGATACTAGTCATGTCTATCAAGGCATTTTAGCTTGTTCTTCATGCACAAAACCAAGCTTTGGATCCACTTTGAATGTGATTTTTATCCCACTTACAATGTCTCTATGTGTCAATATTAACCTCAACTGAAAGATTAGTACCAATACTACACTTATAATCTTATAAATTATGAAAAATTTAGATTAACTACCCGAAAATACCCCGAACATGTCTATCAAGCTATTTTGTATCTTTTTATTCTTGCACAAAACAAGCTTTGGAATCATTTTCAACACGATTTTTAACATGTTTACAATATCTCGTATGTCTCGATATTGCCTCAACTGAAAGATAAATTCCAATACTACTCTTCTAATCTTATAAATTACGAAAATTTTGAGATTAAATACCCGAACATGCCTATAAGCACTTGTGATTTGGGATAGAAAACTAAATACCTCACTCTTTGTAAAACGTGAGGTGTGTTGAATACTACTCGCGATAAATATCTCAGGAAGGTTCAATATCTCGGGAACCTCGCGTTCCGCGTAACGCGAGATATTTAATACCAATATTAAATTGCACTCTTTGAAAAGTGCGTCCCGTAGGACGTACCTCGCGTCTTGTATAAAGCGAGGCCTTTTCTCGTATTTTGCAAGACACGAGGTAGTCTTACGTGTACCGTTTGTGAGTATTTTTCTAACAAATCTACTTAGGGGTTACTCTTAAAAAATAAATTTATGGTTTTTTTAATATAATAACGCCATTTAAAACCCTAACAACCGGTCATGCCTTCGTATTGTGGTAGTTTGTGAGTTGTCCGCTTATTTAGCCGACAGCTTGAAACCAGCCCCTTAATTCATTTGTTATCCGAACCAAAGTGATAAGCATTCATTGGGTCACACTCGGTACAACATGATGCAATATAGATATGCCAATGGAACGAATCAAATGTAGCGTAGAATGTAAATTTCTTAATACTGCTCAAATAAATTCTAGTTCTAATATTCAATTCTGGGTTTGATGAACTAAACAAGTTTGGTAGGAATTCAATTAATGAGTTATTTCTGAAACTTGATCATCAACTGACATTTTGATGATGAACATCTTTGGGTTCTAATCATTAAAGCAGCATTCAAAAAGCATATTATTGTTCATATGGGAAAAAGTCGCTCAGGTTATCATACTGGCTTTATAGTTTCCATAAACCTGGTTTGGATTTAAATTCAGATACTTATCAGCTCAGGCATAATATATGGTATAACACACAAACATGTATTTATACACACTGTCGTTTCTTAATCATAGAAGTGGTTCAAACTCTATTGAATAATGAAGATCTAGTGGAGCATGCCATTGACTCTGTTCAAGTCTTTTCTTTGGGAGAGCAGGCTGGGTTATGGCTGTCATCAAAATAATAAAAATAGTAGTAATCAGGTCATTGGAAGCAAAATCATAGAACCCAGAATATAGTTGTGTGAAGTTTTAACTTGCCTTGCTAGAGATATTGCTGGATAGCCAATCAAGACCTTCATAAAGTCCTTGGCCAGAGGTAGCACAGGTAGCTTGGATGTACCTGTATCAGGTTCTAGTTTTTATTCATAGTTTGAAGGTTGAATCAGCAAATTTTGGATCTGCTTGTAGGTTATAAGTATAGTATATGTATAGACCATGGACTAATGAGTTATTTAACACTTAGAATTTACCAGCGTCTTTGGCGAAGTGAATGCAGACCAAGTTTATCGGTGATTTCGGCAACAGTCATGGCATTCGGAAGATCTTGCTTGTTAGCAAACACAAGTAAGGTTGCATTGCGTAGTTCATCCTGGAAGAAGACAGTAGCACAATCAGTTGAGCATGTTTTGAACACAGAAACTCTTATTAGACAGCAAACAACTGGTGGGTGACATTTTCATCTTATAAAATTAGCACAAAGTTTAATGAAATGAAATTGCGAACCTCGTTAAGCATCCTGTGAAGCTCGTCTCTGGCCTCTGTTGCTCTTTCTCTGTCATTACTATCCACCACAAAAATAAGGCCCTGTGTGTTCTGAAAATAGTGTCTCCATAGGGGTCGAATCTGAAACAATCACTTTTCAGTTCTTATGTACATGTTATGGAAGAGCTGTCAATTGTATTCATATGCTTATTTATTACCTTATCTTGTCCTCCAACATCCCACACGGTGAAGCTAACATTTTTGTACTCAACAGTTTCCACGTTAAATCCTGGATCAAAATACCAAAAACCAATGTTGGAAATCTATTTCATGCTTGAATTGAGACCAGGAAGTTGATGTTTTGACATCAAAACCATTTATTTTGAACATCGAATCACAGGTTCGAATTGGGATAACAAATCTAATGAAAACTCAATTGAAACTTGACGTTCAAGTATCAATCTATCCCGGTTAGGTAGACAAAAGCATCGAGGGTTAATACCGATTGTTGGTATGGTAGTGACAATCTCTCCAAGTTTCAACTTGTAGAGGATCGTTGTTTTTCCGGCAGCATCGAGTCCCACCATCAGTATCCTCATTTCTTTCTTTGCAAAAAGCATCCTCACTAACCTGGATATTGTCATTCCCATGGCTGCAACTATTTTTGAATTACAATGGAAGAACACACTGGATATATGCCTGGATAGTGGATGCTATTAATAGCAATGAGCACCATGGAGAAAGGAATCAAAGAAGGGAAAAAGGAATAGGATTCACAAGACTAATGGTGCAGAATAAAGGCACCTAACTTTGTTTTCCAGAATGAATTCGAGGGGATAAATTCCTTTTCAAAGTTGAAAGATAATATCATGAGATTAGCTGTTTGATGCAATGGAAAAGAAAAAGGAGTATTTTTGTTTTTGTGCTAATGGCAATAAAATCTTCTGGCACTGGAGAAATGAAATCATACACAGGAAATGAGTAAATGCCAAGGGTTAGCTAAAAAAGCAGAGAAATAATAATCTACCATTACAAAACAATCAATGCTGCAGACATTTTTAATTAAGCACATTGTGTACTTACAAGGCAAATATACAAATATCGTTACAAAATCATATAATTGTAATACCCTCCAACAAAAATGAAAACTCCAAGAGATTCTCAAGTCGGTAAGGTGATCTTAACGGAAGCATTTGTTCCATTAGTTTCGAGATATTGCGACTTTTGCGGATTCCAAAGCGGAGGCGGCGGCTGCAGCAGCCCCAGTGAGGACACCGCCGCTGGTCTTTTGGTTGGGTTGTGGATGTTGGTGAGTCACCTGCACGCCCGTCATCTCTTGGCTCTCCCCTGTTGCAACATTTCTTTCTACTTCACCTTGTGCATTTGAGGTTTCCAATTCCTATTCAAATAAAAAATGCATTGTTAATCCCAGTACAAGAAGATCAAACATTTATAAGAAGCTGGTGGCCCCCCAAAAAAATTACTGGATTGGATGTTCATATTGAATGTCAACAGTCTCTTAATTAAGATTTTGCATTTAGATTCTAACAAGTGTATGAGAATATTTATATATATACATAAATAAGATAAATGATATAATATTGAGACATGGGTGATGGATGCTCGGTCTCCAACACCATTTTCGTGCCGAAAAAGAGGCCCTATTATCATGTATACACCTACACTTGTTACGCCCTCTTATTATCTCATATGCAATACTAGTATGATCTTTATTTGGGAATTCCAAAAAACATTAGATTTTTGGGTAAAGTACATTAATGGTCTCCGATTATAGGGAACTGCTTTATTGAGTCCCTGACTATTAAAAGTTACAAAATGGTCATCTACTATTCATATGTTCTAAACTCATCATTTTATGTTAAAATATTGGCGGTCGTCTGAGCTAAACGTTAATATGTTGATTGAGATATGATAAAATCTAACCCCAGAACCGTCCGAGTTGTATTTTGCTGATCGACTCTCGTTTACATTATACCATTAAGTCAATGTTTGAAATATTATGTCATTAAGTCAGTGCTTGAAATCAACAACGGTGTCAATAGACATTTTATCATATATTATGTCATTAAAATATGATTTTATCATACATCAATCAATAGGTTAACGTGCAACTCAAATAGTTGTCAATTTTTTAATAGAAAAGGACGAGTTTAGAATATATGAATAATCGGGTGATCATTTTATAACTTTTGATAGCCGAGAGACCATTTTGTAACTTATAGTAGTTCGGGAGACTATTTGTTAATTTTACCCTATATTTTTTGGAACTAAATATCATTTTTGTTATCCAGATATCAAAATATATGTTTTTGCATGTTCAAAGACGGAAAAAAGAACTAGTAATAGACCAAAAAGGCAAGGATGGGTTGGGTTCAAAAGTCAGCAATAAATATTAGTCAGTGTGACACACCAAGAATAACCAGTTTCTGATGTTATGCGATTCCCAATCAACAGAATCTTTGGAGAAGAAAAAACAGTCTATCAATACGTACATTTCTGATATTCTCTCTACATTTCTGTTATCCAGATATGCAAGCCCACGGGCTACTCCTTTAGCAATCTTTACCCGAGATTCCCACCCAAAATGACAAGGTGAAGAAACAGCTCTTCCTGTAACAGAAGCATGATTTTATAGTAGAAGTAGAGTTTTAAAATTTTAAGAGAACTTGTAAAATTCTTTAACGGACAAAAAATATCTAAAGTACATGATAATTTAAAAAAATTTAGAAGGCAGCTGCCCTAACTGAACCGTTCTTTTTCGATCTACCCCTAATAACACTTAAATAGAATGCAAATGAAAAGTGTTTCGAAGGAAAGTATACATTAATATTTTAACTAGAATAGTTAAAGGCTGTTGGCAATCATACTGACATTATACAAATAAAGGGGCTCAAATTACGTCAAATTGAAGAAACGTTATATACTAAATTTGAGCAAAGTAGAGGAACCAACACTATAATTTGACCATAAAGAAAAAGGATGAGTCGTTTTCAGAGGGGAGTGAGGTGTTGTGGGCTAATGGGAAGGTAAATCGGTGTGAAACGCCATAGGGTAAACGGCAAACACAAAACCCAGGCCAGACAGTTGACTTCGCCAATTGCCATGCCATTAAACAACAATTACTCTACTGTAAAAAACATTTCAGTTCTAAGGCGTAGTTTAACAGATTCCCATGCTGCATTTTAGGGTAAGTATTCGATCAAGTCGAGTTGAGTTAAAAAAATTTGTGTTATTCGAGTTGGCGAGTAATATTTTACAACTCGAACTTAACTTGAAATTTTTTCAAGTCGAATCGAGTTTAAGAAATTCGCGTTGAGTTATTCGAGTTTCTATACTGAGTTTATTATAATTTTTATAGTATTATGGCAATGAATTGTTCTAATTTTTTTACTTTATCTAATTATAATATATTTATATTCTTTCATATTGTAATGTTATTTACTATATCAAATAAAATTTAAATTATGAAATATATTCATAATATTATATTTAAAAAAGTATTTTGAGGGTAAAATATTGATGAGAGTATAAATGAGTTAAGGAATTGATGGGAAGAAAGAATTTGTAAACAATTGTAGTCAAAATATTAAATTGAGTAAAATGCAAAGTTAAGGGACTAAATAAAAAAGAGAGTACATATTTAGTAAAAAAATAAAAATTGAAGTTACATATGTATTCTATTGTGGTATATGAGCACATGGTTCAAATTTGGTAGAAAAACAAGGACTTAAAATAAATCACAAACGGATGGAATAAGGAGATTATGAAAAATTGAAGGACTAAATTGAAAAATAAAAAACATATTATAAAAAAGAGGAATTGAAAGTACAGATGTATTCTACTATGGTTTAGGAGCATGTGGCTCAAATTTGATAAAATCAGACTTAAAATAAATGACGAATTGAAGAAATAGTGAGATTATGAAAATTGAAGGACTAAATTGAAAAATAAAAAATTTGTTATCAAAAAGAGGAATTGAAAGTAAACATGCATTCTACTATTTTTTAGGAGCATGTCACTCAAATTTGGTAAAAATAGAATTAAAATAAATGACGAATTGAAGAAATAAGGAGATTATGAAAAATTGAAGGACTAAATTGAAAAATAAAAAATTTGATATCAAATAGAGGAATTGAAAATACACATTTATTCTACTATGGTTTACGAGCATGTGGTTTAAATTTGGTAGAAAATAGACTTAAAATGAAGGAAAAATTGAAGAAATAATGAAATTAGGGACTAAATCATAAAACTATTAAAATACGTAGTCAATTTTTTGATTTTTCAAATAACTCGAAAATTCAAAATCTCAACTCGAACTCGAAAACCGAATTTATAATTCAAGTTTACTCGAATAACTCAAAATTAAAAAAAAATTGATTTTCCAAGTCGAGTAAAATTTTACCTACTTTTTTTTGTTAACGTAGGCGTAGAAACCTACAAAGAAAATGAAAATTAGGACGAAGAACTTACTACTGTAACGAGCGTTGGCGAGGCTGCCATTGGCACAAAATCATAGATAATGAGCTTTTCATCGACTCCCCAGTAGCAGGAATTCAAATAGCGGCCGTTATATCACGGTTACGGCGGTGTCTGAAACTGCTATCGCGAAAAATAACGGTGTGAAGCAGGATCACACCAATAGCGGCGGATCACGGTTGCAATTTAACGAATCGCAACCAATCGTGGCAATAACGGACCGCTATTATTCTGTTATTTTAATTTTCTTTTTCTAAAATTAGCTCATTCGAAAAAAAATTCACGATCGCGATATCTACAAAAACCGTAATAGTATCCGTTATATGCACAACTATGACAAATGCAACGTGACCGAATACGTGACCACTATTGATATTTAAATCACTGCCCATTAGAACCCAAGAATGCCGACCAAATTCGGGTGAACCAGCTTGGCAATGACCTGGACCTGGTTCTCGAAGTCCCTGAACCGGTCCACACTGTTCTCGTCGATCCTTCGAACCGCTAATGACGTTCCATCTCCCAGCTCCGCCTTGTACATGATGCTAGACCCCGTCGCACCTAAGATGTAGGCCGACGCTTTGAGTAGCGTCTCCAGCTCTAGCTGCTTTTCCCCGTCCACCGTCACCAGTGTCCCTTTCTTCTCATGTTCTTCCGTGTAGTAAGTGGTGGTGTCCGATTCTTCCTCGTACTCTCCCCTCTTTTTCAGACACGACCATCTTGAAAACCCTTTTGATTCTGACGATGAAGATGTTACGGACCAATTGTCTTTGCCCGTGTTTGCTTCTTGCTTCCTCCTACTTTCAACTCTCTTCTTCTTCTTTAACTTGTACGCCAAGATGAAAACGATGACCACGAATGCGATTCCGGCTGTATTTCCAGCAACAGTTCCTACCATTGTTCCTGTTTTAAGCTTGCTTTGACTTTGTCCTTTAGCCCCCGGCATGTCGGAATCCATCGTCCTAGGGATGGCGGCGATTGCCGGCGGAGAAGTTGGTGAAGAAGGATTAACAGGACAATCACGTCCGGTTGCTCGACCGCATAGATCAGGATTTCCGGAAAAAAATTTGGATTCTTGATTCTTAAGAACAACGGAATCCGGGATTTCTCCTGTGAGGTTATTGAAAGAAAGATCAATAATAGCGTTACCGGGGATTTTCTCGGCGAATTGTGGTGGAATTTCCCAG